GTAGACAGGGGGAGAGATAGGATTCGATCAACTGGCGGTGATGGGGGTGGAGGGTCACGTGTTTGCGGAGGAGACCGTGGTCAATGCTGGGTCTCTCCACTAGGGTAAGTGTCGGCTGGCTCCAGGGTGGTTCAAAACATTGAATGTGAAAGCCCCCTACTTGGAAAAGGGTTGTTGGGAATGATGGTTTGATGGACACAGGCCCAGCGTTCCGATTGAGGGTAGAGGGGTCACTCCGATATCTAGCCAATAGGAACGGAGAGGCTTGCCCCGCCAAGTCATCCGCTATGCCGTTCGCAACTCGAGGCAGGTATATGAAGAGACTATGGGGGAGATGCAAACTTACAGTCGCACCAATGCTTTCCAGTGGTTGGTGCATGTCCAGTCTCCGGAGGCGGCCTGCAAATTGGAAGTACTTAATGACAGGAAGAATATCACCTTGGATGACCACCTTAGGCGTGAGGCCACGGCTCGATAGAAGCTGTTTAACGACAACAGAGATTTCTTCAACCAGATACAAACAGGCCATGATTTCTGCTTCTATATTGTCTGAACAATGCGGAAGAGCAACTGACCGACATGCAATAACACGAGACCGACCACCTTCTATTGCATATATGACATACCCTGCTCCTCCTAGCGTTTCTTCGCGCATACAACTGCCATCAAATTGTCCTACGATTTGTATTGAGGGTTCGGATGGCGTATCGTCGGGTGGGATTGCTAAGATCAACTCATCAGGGCAAACAGATTGAAGAGCTGTGACTGTACATAAGGAATCAGGCGAGTTGGGGCAGGCTAGTACAATCTTGGCATTAGGGCGGAATCCTGCAACTCGGGCTCTAGCTGGGGTGATGAGGCTTAGCCATGGGTGTCCGAGTGGGAGAACTGCGATGGGTTGATGTGAGGCAATGGATGTGGTAGCTGTGCAAACCAGATCAGGAAGTGCTGCAGAGTGGAGAGTAACTGCTTCGTTGGCAGTGGTTTGCATGTAGCATGGGTGGTTCTGATTGTCTGTGCCAACATGCTGGGGCCTTACAGGTGACCGAAGTTCCGGGAGGAAGCGAGTTGGGATGGCCTGCAGGGCGTTGTCATGTAGGCGGGTTAACCATTCAGGGACACTTAGGGGAACTGAGGAGGTCGCATGTTGAATGCCGCCATGCTCAAGCAAGAGTCTGCGGAACTGATGCAGAATGTGGCTCGCGATCACGCATCCGGCTGTGCTGACTCGGGCAAGCTGGTCCAGTGATTTCACTGTATCGGAAGAAGGTGACAAGTATTGGCAACTAGGACAGGGACAATACAAAAGCGAGCCCAGTGTTGAGAGGAGTTATCTCCATGTCCGCACGCTACGCAGGGAGCGAGATTCCGGCCACGGTCACGCCGTGAGGCAGGAACAGGAAAAAATGCCCGGGTAGATTCCGCGATAGCGTGCCAGTAGGATGTGGCCGGTATCCCCCATCTCTCACTACTGTACAGGGTGGTAGCGTTGATATCGTGATCGTGGCAGCATCTTTCACAGGCTGGGGCAAAATTAAGTCCGAGTGGGTACAAACGGGTGTGAACTCCACAGAGCTGGCATGGCTGCTCAGCCTGAAGAGAGCCTGCAAGACGAAGCCGAAGGCATTCATCATCATCCTCATTGACTGCCCACCGCAAGACAGCAAAACGTGCAACCCCATTAACAGCAAGTTTAGGTACTGTGGCTAGATTGGTTAACCAAGCCCACGATACTCCACCTGGTAGGAGTTGTAAGCTGACTCTAGATTGCAGATATTGCAACGCATGCACTTGTATGGCCTGATAAAGGCTAAGTTTAAGCTGACGGAGGAATTGAAGGTGTTTTCTCCTGGTGTTTTGTCCTGCAGTTATGCGTAACAAGTTACCGACTGTGTCTAGTCCGAGCAGGGGGATCCATGTTCGGAAGATACGTTGGACAACCGCTCCTTGCCTTGTCCCTACATCCGGGTACCCCGGTGAGAGAAAGGCGGTAGAGCCATTCTGTCTAAGCCAATAACCCAAACACGCTGCAGTGAGTGTGACCGCTGGGTCTAGCGCGGGAGCAATACCTAGCCACCTAAATATGTGTGGGAGATACCGTGCGGCCAGCCATGGCCTGCCGAGAATAAGTTTCGCTGAGCGTTGCTGGTATAAATTGATGTCGTCCGGATTAAAGCCAAAGTATGTACTTTGATAGATATTGAGGGACAGAATAAAGCAGTTATTGGCAAGGCTTCTTTGCACCACGGAGTGAGCAGGTGTGGCGAAAAGGGCTGGCCGATGGTTAGCTTTGGACATGGCTTTGGGATTAATGGCTTGCGTGCCTGTAAGCTCTTCCACCGGGGCCCACCCTTGATGGCTGCGGGAATACCTACCATATAAGAGCAGACCCAGTGCAGCAGCTTTTCCCTCAATGAGGTGGGCTCCCCAGTTGGAGCATTCTAGCGCATTCAGAGTACTCTGGGAGGCTGGGTGGTTAACCAGTACGCTGCACTTGTTGGAGCAACTACACTGTACGAGGAAAAGTGGGTCAATTTTTGCAACATGTCCTCCGGCCAGTACTACATCAACTTCTGCTGGGGTGAGACACACAAACAACTTGGCTCGGCACACAATAGTGGTGGTGCTATAACCAGCTCTGTGAACCAATGCTTGCCTCAGTGTAGCATGACCTTGTAATCTTTGTGTCCATTGTAATGGAGGGTATTGGTCAATCTGGCCAGAGCTAGCTGCGTGCATATTGATGCCACTGGTTCGCCAGCAGTGGTGTTCATCTATTTGGATGCCGGCCGATCTCAGGCGGGTGCAAACTTGCCAGGCATCTGAGAGCCATTGCATACCGGCAGTGGTATCTCCCACCATTGTGGTGTCGTCCACATACCCTTGAACTGCAAGCATACCGGGGATTCGGTTAAGATAGGTCAAAACAGGGTCCATGGCAACGCAAAACAGCAGGACTGAAAAAGATCGACCCATGTCAACGCCTGTGACAATCATTTTTGAGGGTAACAATTTGCCTTGAACCTTGTGTCTACATCGTCGGAAAAGGAGTATATGCCGTGTATACATGATGATCCACCAGGGGGCTTTGCGCGCTGATAGAATCTGTAAGATCCAATATGGGTTAATTCGCTCGAAGGCTTTGGAAAGGTCTAATGACAGGTGCATCATGGTCAAGAACAGATTGGACGGATTGGACAGCACTTTGTGGTTCACGAAAAAGATTTAACACCGTTTGAGAGGGATGGAGTAGCGGAGCAATGGCTTTGGTCATGACTGTCGCAATGCTTCCGTCTATTACTCTCTCTTATTTCTCCAGAAAACCAGGATCACTCGAGATTGACTCACATTGGTGGTGGAAGTTTCGATGTTGAATTACCGTCCATATAATTATCTATTAAATTATATGGCGTATCGACTTGGAGTAAGGTAAGCGTATCCATGTAAGTATGTTGCTTACACAAACTAACCTTACTACAAATTAAAAATGCCGCAGGCAACTCGAAAGCACCACAGTCGGACTTATTATTATTTCCTTTTTGATTCCAGTAATTGCACTGTCGGGGGTCAATCCAAGGCCGGTCATGATTCCAGCTGAGAAAGATTCTGGTGCATTGGATGGGCCATGATTCCATCACTGACAAACGTTGACACAAAGTGACTTGATGCTAAGTGTCAGAGCACCCGATAATTCCCCAATTTTTGGGTGGGAGTGAAAAACGGGGTGGGTGACAAAAATTGCCCTTATTTAAAAGGGACACCCTCCCTCCCACCACTTGATTGGGAACAGCCACACATTTCCATCTATGATGTGACATGTGACAGATGTGGATTGTTTCAATGAAATTGTTGAAAACCACATCGAGAGTATTGAAAATGGATTTTGAAATAAAACGCCAACTTGTTTGCGTCACCAAGTTTGGTTGTATGTTTCAACCTTTGACAATGTTTGTTTACCACCAAACCAAGAGAGTTTAAGTTGATCCTTATTTGTGAGATTTCACAAATTTTTGTTTGGAGAAATAAGGCTTTCATCTTTTTTCAAAAGAGTGACATCTTATTTCTCCAGAAAACCAGGATCACTCGAGATTGACTCACATTGGTGGTGGAAGTTTCGATGTTGAATTACCGTCCATATAATTATCTATTAAATTATATGGCGTATCGACTTGGAGTAAGGTAAGCGTATCCATGTAAGTATGTTGCTTACACAAACTAACCTTACTACAAATTAAAAATGCCGCAGGCAACGCGAAAGCACCACAGTCGGACTTATTATTATTTCCTTTTTGATTCCAGTAATTGCACTGTCGGGGGTCAATCCAAGGCCGGTCATGATTCCAGCTGAGTAAGATTCTGGTGCATTGGATGGGCCATGATTCCATCACTGACAAACGTTGACACAAAGTGACTTGATGCTAAGTGTCAGAGCACCCGATAATTCCCCACTGTGACAAGTGCTCTGGCAGGACCAATTCGACTTGGTTTGCTTGTCTAAGCCAAGGTGCTTCGAAGTTCATCCTTGAAGGTTCATCCGAAGGGTTGCTATGGCTTGCAACCCTCGCGAACCACGGAGAAAAACGGCATTTGTATTCAAAGCAACATACTCAGCAACTAAGGCTGCTCCAAGGTCGGTCGAGGCATGGGCCCTAACGAAAGCAGACCTTGCTGCATCGTTGTCCAAATAATGGACTACAAGTTTGCCCAATATATGCTTCGACCATATCTTGACCGCGACCAGCAAAGGAAAATCTCCAGCTCGTAGATTGGATGGTTCGACTTCGCCAAGAATTCTTCAAGTAGGGGCTGTGGTAGGTAAGCACCAAAGAAGGAAACCACCTGCCCACTTGGATTCACCAAGACTCCGCCTATCGAAGCCGGCTGTGCGTTGGTGGGCTCAAAAGCACCGTCCGTAAAAATTATCCACGTCTCATTGATATCGCGGCTGATCGAAACCTGTCTGCTCGACAATAGGTGTTTCTTCAATGTTTCCAATGCCGCTATAAGCTGATTGTCCACGCGGATCGACGGACCCGGCTTCCTTGAGTGCCACGACAGGACCTTGGTGGCCGCATTCAGTCTCCTCCCAAAAACGAAGGTCCGAAACCAGACTATCCTGCCATGCAATCTTTCAAGGGTCTTGGTTCCCACGAAGTTCTGGCTTAGGACTTCGTCAATGTATTCGAGAAGTTCCTTCGACCTCTCCTCCGTGTGTCCAACTTTGACCTCTCGGCTCCCCACGTTCTCTGCGTTGACCACCAGCCCCAAAGTCTTGAAGCATTCTGAAAACGGGGGCGCCTTCGATCCCTCTGAGGCAAAGTTTATACCAAGCAGCTTGAACAAAGCTTCCGCATAAAATGTGGTGTCCAGCTCAAGACCTGACGGTGAGAGAGCAGTGTAGTCGTCGAAGAACACTGACCAGGGAATGCAAAGACCCTTCGAACCTATGAACGCAATCGCAGACGAAATCCTGAGGAAAGCCGAAACACTGCCAGTGGCCCCGAAGGGTAACGCCAAAACCCTGAAAAATGCGACTCCGCCACCAGGTTTCTTCACCGCGATTCTGAGCCTCTCCGAGTGTGGTACATCCACCCCAAATTGCTTGTAGGCTGACTTCAAATCAAATGTCCTTCCCAAAAGTCCTCTGCCATCGTTTGCAAAACTTTGGGAGTCAAGTAGGACAGAGATTCCTGCCAATATTTCATCTATGGCGTCAACCCTCAGCTTTTCTGACATGCCAAAGGCCGAATTTACCCCACAGATCGAGAAGTCATCGATGAGACGTGTCTTCTCTTTCTGTTGAATTGGGAACCTCTTCGCTATGAATTGTTTGCCCAGGTTAGGGTGAGGTTCTTCAGCCAACCAGCCGTTTGCCACCTCTTGCATGGTTTCATCCCACGCTACCTGGTCAACCGGCATCCAGTCAGATGATTCCAGGGAGGCCACAACCGCCATGTTTAGGCCCTTCGCCATACCTTCAACTGTTCCATCAAAGAGGTCCGGTGGCTTCACTCTCGTCTGGAAGACGCCCGAAGACTGGGCCCACCCCGTCAGGGGAAAACCCTGACAGATTTCATCAACGATCTTCGCGTCCGGGTACTCAAGGTCCTGCAGAATCTCTCTCCACAACAGTAGCTTTCTGTCTTTAAGCAAAGGTTGAAGGTGCGCCGGGAGACTGGCATGGAGTTGCTGCTCTTCTGCTCTGAGCTGGACGGCTCTTCTCATCCATTTTTTCAGGAAGTTGGCACGCTTGGCCTTGATCTCAAACGGGCTGCTAAGGAAGACCTCCTCAAGGACTTCCTTCATCAATGCGGGAACTCTAGCAAAGGCTCGCCTTGGATGACCTATTGCGTGGGCATCCTTGATGAAGTCCGATGGGTCCCTTGGGATTCCAAGAGTGAGAACTTCGAAATGCGCCCCTTCTTCAATCGAGGCAGCCCAATTGTTTGACTTCCTTCTCCATTCGTCCCGTGTGAACCCCCAATGCAATTGACGATGGATAACGTTGGTACCTTTTGGGAATGCTTGCAACAACTTTTCAATGTCTTGGTAGCCGACGGGAATAGCTGTTTTGAATTCCCGGCCATATTCGGCTAAAACCTGTTTCAGCTTGTTGCCCCTGCTTTGTGCTGCAAATAAATTCCGTTTCCCAACGCTTGGATCCACCATAAGCTGTTGCTGCAGACTCTGGCAAGGGCTAAGGCCACGAATCTTGGCTTCGTTCAAGCAAATTGACGCAAACCTTTGGCACAAAATTGTAGGGTAAGCGGCTTCTTCTGCTGTCGGGAAGAATAGTTTGCCGTTGACCCAGCGCGGTTTCCAGGACTCATGTTGATGCTGTCCATCGCAAAGAATCCCCAAACTTTCCAGAATATTTGTGTCTGGCTTCCTTGGGTTGTACGACCAAAATTTTGACTTCTTGTCCCTGGTTCCACCATGCATGCAATGCTGCAAAATTGGAGAATGGCCAGGGTACTGGTCAAACAGCTTCACCATGAAACTTGTCAGCCAAAAAAGACTGTTGAGTGGGTTTTCGACTGTAACCGCGGTGCCCAGCCCAATGAGAAACAAAATAAGCTCGACCATAGCTGAGTAGGATGCATTTGCTTCCAGAACCCTTTGGTGTTCTTGTTCGGTCAATCCTGCTAGCCCGTCCGGGTATGATTCGCTACGGAGAGGTCTAGGCGGATTGGAAATGCCGGGAACCTTCCGCTCCCTGGCTTTTGAGGCCGTCCCGCAACTTGGCGCAAAATGCGCCAGCAAAAGATTTTCACGCTCTGCTTCAGCGAACTTGCAAACTGTGTTGAAATCGTGCGGTCTTGTCAAATCAAACGATGCAACCGGAAAATTCTCGGCTCTTTTGGGGTTTTTGTCCACTGCTAATACCCTGAAGCCAAGGTTTTTGCACGCTTTACTGAATCGACAAGACCCGGCAAAAATTTCCAAAATCAAGCCAGAACCCTTGTCAGGCTCGTCTTCTGTATCAAAAGACTTTGCTGAAGTTTCTGGAGCGAAAACTGTTGAATTGCAAAATGAGTCACCTGCACTGAAATTCGGTTCATCGCAAAAAGGTGCACATGCACTTCCCATGGTTCCAAGTGAGGATTGATGGGGGCCCGGAACAACTTCGTGATCGCTGTACCCCTCACTTGAAACCTTTTCCTGTCAACTGGCACGGCACTTCACTGCCCCGTGCCCTGGTTTCAGACACTTCATGCAGTCATGCATTCCGAACCTGCATCGGCCGCCCTTGACCGGGTTGTTGCAGCCCTTGGACATGTTGAAATGCCAACACATCGGCTTTCCTGACTCGGTCTTTCGGGCCAAACCTGCAAGCTCATCCGGCAACTGTGGAGCCGGCTTGTCTGTCGATCTTGGGCGCTTGAAAGGTTTCTTCGGGACTGGGCTTGGCCGGCTCGGTTCCGCCTCCAATGGTCTCTTCGGAGGTTGCTGCGCCGTCACCTTTGGCATTGCTATCAGGTGCACGTTGATCCTAGGGTCGTGCATCAACCTTTCAAAGGGCTCCTCAAGAGGTGGTCTGCCCCCGGTTGTTGCCTTGAGCGACCCCTTGTGTTCTGACGCCAAAATTGAGAAAATTTCTCTGTCCGCTCGCATCACTTGAGTCAAGGTGATAGCACTGAAGTTGCTGGGGGCGTCAGAGACCAGGGTGGACATCAATTTGTCCAACCACTTCTGGCACACGCTCCACGATAGCAAATTCACAAGGTCAAACGCCAGGTGGCGCCTTTGGAGCGCGAAATACAACTTGAGTTCCGTGCTGGTGTCAATGTCCTGCAAGTTCGAGACCACCGTCTGCTTCAATGCCCCTTGCTCCAGTGTGATCATTGTCTTCGACTTGTTTTTCGCCTCTGTCTGCACCTCGCTCTCCCTGGAGTGGCACCTGCTGGGGTGCAGGTACGTAATACTCCCACTTTCCAGCACATTGTAAGCTGCGTCTATGAGAGCATGAGCGGGTTGTTGCTCTGGTGTGTGCGGTAATCCTGGCAATCTCTTCTTCTGGGCATCAAGTCTGCTCTGCTTCTCGATGAACGGGAGCTTTCGAATCGGCTCCGAAGCATCTGCACGTGCAGACTGAGTCTTCATCTCAGCAATAAGGAGGGTGCAAGACTCAGAGTGCAACCTTCTGAGGATTGCTGTCGTACCCAATGTAGACTGAGTTTCAAACACCGCATCTGCCAGTTTGGTGAATTCATCATCTGAAACTGGGTTCTGCGGGCTGCCCAAAGCGAAAGCAAGCGTCGAAAAAGATCCAATGTTTTGACCCTGTAGCTTCTCAAATAGTCCATCGTGCATCTCTTCACACCGTTTCTGAAAAGCCTTCTCGGAGTCAATGAGCGCCATCACCCTGGATCTAAAAAGAAACGATCACAGTTTTAAAAGGTTTGGTTTCGTTTGCCCTCATTTGGAGCCACAGGACATGCAAACATTCACAACTATTTACCTCTACTGAGGAGTTGCAAGTTGCTCAAACAGGTCATCTGTTGCCATGCTGACAGTTGACCAAAGATGGAGTGATCATGTTGCACTCACACATTACGGATTACAAAATCCTTAACAGATTCGAAAATATGTTCAAGGTTTGCCACCATGATTGGCTCAAGACGTGTGATGCATGTTTCCACTACTTGAACAAAACCGAGAGGCAGCTTGTTTCCTCAATTTTACCGCAATCTTGAAGTGAGCGGTGTGTTCGCAGCTCGCCAACAGTGGCTGCAGCAAGGTGTATCCCACCTGAGAGACGCCGGTGGTTTATAAAGGCTTCCGTTGGCCATTTCGACCTTTCGGCCACAAAGCAAATACCGCTTGTGGTCCTCTTGGATCAGATGGAGCATCCTGGACTTAGGATGCTGTCTCAATTCTGTCCCAGCCGGGGCCTTTGGAGCACTGACCATACGGGCTGCATGCGTCGCCGCAGCTTGTTCCTCTTCTGAACTCGAAGAGGTGTCACTGCCTGACCCAAGGTCCTCTCCTGCCTCCTCATCGAGGTCCTGCTGCTGCCGATCGACTGCCTCCCATGTTTCATCGTCCTCACCAACTGAAAGGACTTCAACCTTGACCTCTGCTGTCATCATTCCTGATCTGGTCGCGTTCGGGTTGAAGGATCCTTGCCATATGCGCTCCAGCATGTGGCTCAGCACCCTCAAGGGACTTGCAAGTGAATCCCTGGAGTAGGTCAACACCGACTTCATGCGGCCTGTGTGGCCACCCAAGATTTCCCTGTGGGGTATGGAGGCACCAAACTTCGCCAGAAAGCTGAGCAACGTAGCCTTACATGAGTGGCTTGAAATCTTGCAATCCTCTGGCAAACCCCCATTCCTGTCCAGGATCATTTTGACCCACTTGCTGAACTCCTCTGTGCTGAGTGGCCGAACTGTTGCTGACCCCTCGCCATCAGGTGCTGGCATCAAAGGTACACCTGACCCAAATTGATCGCCCAGCTGTTGTCGGAGCTCCCACCAAGTTCTGACCCAGTTGCCCTGCACGACTCCTAGTGCTGGACCAACTGCTGCCATGACTCCACCTCTCCAGGCGTTCGCTTTCTTGGTCTTGAACTCCTTGATCTTGAGCTCGACAAAAACTGGATCATTGGGGTCCGGGTCCATCACCACCTCGTCGGTGTGCTGCATGTCCATCCATCTTGACCTGGTGTAGACTGCCACCAAAGCTGCACCACTGACCAATCTATCCCAAAAAAGGGCAGATTTGTCATGCAAAACTCCATGAAGAATCGACAGCTGCTCGACGGTGAAAGGGTCAGACTATTTCAATACTGTCTCACCCACTCTCCTGGAAGCCCCAATGCATCTCTTAGAAAGCAGTCTCTGACTGAGCCCTTCGATGCCAAAAACAAATTCTGTGAACCTAATGGCTTCCACAATAGATCTGAGTCTACTCAAGGCAATGCCGCTGTTTCTCAGGTCACAAAAATACGCGTATAGGAAAGACTCGTCGCCTGGAACTTGGACCTTGGCCTCTCTTAGCTTCTCAATGTACTTGAGCATGGAGTTGGCTCTCTTGATCAACGTGGCTGGAGCCTTCCCTGATAAAATATCCCTGAGCATACGAAGTTGTTCGGTGAGACCTGCTAGGAGATGTAACTGCTTCACTGTTTCGTGAATTTCAGGAAACTGCGAAATGATGTCAAACCATCTTTTCAGAGCAACATCCATCTTGGCCTCTTGGTCTTCTTTCCAAGAAATTGCATCTGTATTGGCAACGATTTGCCTCCAATGGTCAGCCACCAAAATTCGCCTGGGCATCTTTGTAGGCTTCTCCGGTTGCTCCCGCTGCGGGTCTGCTGGGCAAGCCAAACGCTTCCATTTCCGTTGAGGGCTGACGCATAATGGTTTGTTGCAAAAGATACTTCCCCAAATGCCCTTTTCCCAAGGCAATTCTAGTTCCGGGCTTGGATCCAGGTCCAACCAAGTCCTTTCCAGCATGTCTGGGGTAAGGAGCTGCGGTGAGCGTTCATCTCTTTGTGAATCACCCGGCAAAACCCCGTCATCAAACTGTGATTCGGCTGAACCCATGTCCACAATGTTGAGGAAAAGCTTGTTGTAAAATATACTGCAGTGCTGAGTAGTTGCAAGAAAATGCCAAAACACCGAGGCTGAAGATTGCAAGCCGTGCTGTAAGTCACTTACCAGGATGTTGAGTTTCAATGTCCCACAGAAGCCAAACAAAAGTTGCTATGACTCCAAGACAGAAACCACTGGCCAAATGAAAAACAAACCACGGCTGAGATTGCAAAGGAGGCCTCTGGAATGCGGTGCGCCCTTTGTCGCGCAATGTATCGGCACGAAAACGAGCAACCATGCACTGACAAAAATTGCCCTTATTTAAAAGGGACACCCTCCCTCCCACCACTTGATTGGGAACAGCCACACATTTCCATCTATGATGTGACATGTGACAGATGTGGATTGTTTCAATGAAATTGTTGAAAACCACATCGAGAGTATTGAAAATGGATTTTGAAATAAAACGCCAACTTGTTTGCGTCCAAGTTTGGTTGTATGTTTCAACCTTTGACAATGTTTGTTTACCACCAAACCAAGAGAGTTTAAGTTGATCCTTATTTGTGAAATTTCACAAATTTTTGTTTGGAGAAATAAGGCTTTCATCTTTTTTCAAAAGAGTGACATCAAATGTCGATGGCATACCCAATGGACGGAAATTATCAGCGGTGGGGCCCATTTTGGCTTTCGGGATCCATGCTTGAACTGAGCAAGGGGGAGGGACAGATGATCTACAGATATCATTAAGATGCGTAATCATTGCTTCTGATGACACGCCTGGATGGAGTCTCCATGCAGCATAGGGTATTCCGTCTGGACCTGGGGAAGAATCGTTGGTGGCAAGAACAGTTCTGACTAGGTCATCCGCACCGGGTGGGGGAACATGTGGCCAGGGCTGGGCTTGTGCTTTGTACTGCTCTAGGTAGTCTGTCCACTCAGGATCGTATTTAACAGGCGGTTGGAACCAGAACTTACGAGTGGCGAGCATGGCTGCAGACAAGTCCAGGTCGGTTTGGCACTGATTGCCTGCACCATCCAGGATAGGACCATTATAGAAGACTGTTCGTGGGCAGCTAGCTCGCAGTCTCTGCCACAGAGGGGCACTAGTGCCCAGGCCACGACTGCGGGTAGTTTCATCTCTATTCCTTGTGATAAGATGTTGTTGTTGCAACTGAAGATCAAGGAGCTCGAAACACTTCCAAAGGAAGGTACGAGGGACCGTGATGACAGTGGATGATTGGCAATATTCTTCCAGGGCAGGTCGGAAACCTGGAAGCGCCGCCAGGAGCTCACGTAGCAACTGTTTAGAGATATTGAGAAGTGGTTGATCAGATTGGAGATGCTTCCTCAGAGTATTGAAGTCCCGAGGCCGTTTGGGGAGCGACATCCACCATTGCCATAATAATGTCTGGAGAGACTCGAATGTGGGTTGGGAGACTAGGCAAAGTCGGCGAACCAGCGACTGGAGTGACGGCCACACTTGTCGGGTGTCATGTCGGTCCTTGCCCGGCTGGAAGACACTTGCAGGTATGATCATATGTAAAGGCAGGTCCGGGCTACTGGAGACTGGTGGCCTGTGGCGCAACTGAATGGATATGCATGCATGTCCGGCAGACTCAAATAGACGATCATAGAATACTTGATGTTGGATTAGCCCACGGTTCATATATTCGGTCGGAAGAATGACTTTATCGATTGATGACGAGCCGTTTGGGCCCCAGAAGGTGGGTTCATCTTTAACGATGTCGTCGCCCTGAGCACAACTTAAAATGCGGTGCCAAGCATCAAGCGAAAGGTGATGACCATGATTAAAGTCTCCGACAATGAAAAAGGGGTCAGGATGATCCTGATGATCAGTTAACCATTTGGCAAGCGTTTCGCAGTCCTCTTTAACGCTGTTGGGATGACAATAGGCCGAAATAACCCAAAAGCAATCGGTTCTGGTTTGGACTTGTGCTGCTATGAGTTTGCCAGGCGTTATAACAACTTCTAGTAGTAGCCTAAAGGCGCACGGAATCAAAATAGCTACTCCACCAGATAGGCCTCCATTTTCTGTGACGATCGATGGGGAGTGTGCAATATTAAAGCCTGGATACGTCTGGAGAAAGTTCGTAGCAGTACTCGCCGTCCATCTGGTTTCTTGGAGGCAGACAATACCGTGCCGGGCACGGCGGAGAATGGCCTGTGTCTTAGGATTAGTCCATTGTAGCGTTCTCCAACCTGATACATTCCATGTGGTTAAATGTCTGAGGGCAGTACAGCAGTCTTGTTTCTTTTCTAGACGATATTTAAGGACTTCAGCACAGAGGAGGCTAAACTCAGAAGAGTTGGCCAGTGCTTGTGCGAGGAAAGGTCTAGATTGGGAAAAACATTCACTGCGGATGCCACATTTGTTAGCCACTGTTTGGATATCTAAGATGGGCCAAGGTGCGGGGATCTGAAGTACGTGCGGCAAAAAAGAGAGTGATTGTAAGCAATGAAAGCTTTTTGGACATTTGGTCTTGAACTGGAGTGAGTACAATGCTCGAATTTGCCGGGACCACGCGTTGCGAAACTCGAGCAGCAGAGGTTTCGCAACTGTCCCGAGGCGCTGCATGGTTACTGATGACACTCAGTCAGGGAACAAACAAAAAAAGCAAAATCCGGGGGGGCATCATCTGCGCACCAGCTGCATGCAAGTTCCGGATTGATTTTCCCAATAGGATTAATGTGTGGGAGATTGTCACTATGCTCCGGATACTTGAATAAGCGATTGTCAATAGATGCTTTGATTAGGCACGTTTGATATCCTGTAGTGTCATCAAACCTCCAGTTGTGTGCGGCAGCAATGGCGACATTGCCTTCATTGTCAATAAACATACAACCATGGAGTTCAGGATAAGAACCAGCTGCTGTGTGCATGTTGCAGGAGGCTTGCTCGATTACCCAAGACAAAAAGCAAGCAATGCACTGGTTATATAGGAATGTGCCAATAACTCGATGGCTGATCAGATATTGTCCCTTTGATCCATAAGGGACAGCAAACCAGATGCAGTTGGGGTTGGTGCTGTGGAACGGAATGGGTGCGGCTGTAAACACAACAGGGTGAGGCGTTTGCTGCCATGGGATATCTACCCGGGTGTGACAATTCCACGCAGCTGTGTCAAGGTGAAAGGTACGTGAGCGAGGGAATTGAACACAGTAGACGGTCCATTTGGCAGGGGCATCGCCAAAGGTAGCAATATGTGCTTGATCTTCCCAGTCAGCAATATGAACAAAATGAACAGAGACTTGTTCATGATGTAATAGGGAATACAACCAAAGCAAAATCTGAGCCATAGTGTAGGTGCACTGCCCAGCGGATTTAAGTTGGTGGGAGATCCATTCCTTGGTCTGTGGACAATGGCGTTCAACTACAGCGTCATAGTTATGACCAAAGAAGAAATGCAGCAGATCTTCAGCTCTTCCAATTCCTGCTCCGAAAAACTTCATCCCTGTGATGATGCTTTGCATTTGTTTCTTCTGAAGGAGTTGAATGGCAGTTAGGGAAAGCTGCGATGGCGGTCTGTTGTCCATGACTCCTAGGTCAGAAGGGTGGATCTTGCGGGTCGCAGGCAGCAGTTGCTTGGGCAATACGGTCGGCATGACCGGGGCCAGGTGGCCTTCGAGCGCATGAATTGGAAATTCCGGCATTGGATCAAGGCCAATTTGTTTGGTGGAAAGATCACGGATACGTTGTTCTCGTGCAAGGGTTTGAACTTGTTCACGTAATGCTTGGTATTGAGAACGAGCTTGTTTCGGGTGGACGACTCCGGACCATGTAGGCTTAGTTTCTGCTCCAGCAGGTTCAGTAAGCCAGTTGCGTAGACGCTCTGGGTGCCCTACGGCTGCTTGAATATATTCCGGATGAAAGCTGTTGCCGCAATAATTCCTAACTGTAAACTCCGTAAGCAACGAGCGATGAGCATGTACTCGGTCAAAATGGTTGTGTAGCCCAGCTAATTTTTCGACCTCATTGCAGAGCAGGATTCTCATGGGTGCTTTGATGTGGGGATGATGGAAGATAGGCAGAATCGCACGGACAAGCCGGTCCCTATCAAGTGTGCTCACATTTGTTTGTCGGAGAGACTGTAGGAAGCGATTCCATGCATGCAGGTAATGTGGCGGCAAAGATTTCTCAAAGTCAAGAGCAGGGATTATGTCACTGGAATGCATTTTGGCTTTGATTTGGAATTGAGCTTTATCTCCCCAGAAAAGGTAGTCCCATATGAGAGAAATTGGTTGATATGCCGTCCAGGAGAGCTGATACACATTGTGTCCCAGGACTGATCTGACTCGGAGTAATGGTCCAAAGGGAATCGGCTGACCGCTAAAATCCAACAAAGGCCCCTCTAGGTCGTTCGGTTCAAGGACAACCGTCTTGGAGACTTTGACACAGTCTTGGTAGTTGCGAAAATAGAATCTGTTACGCCTTATGCCATGCGTATTCTTGGGGTCAACGCGAAAGTGATCTGGAGTCGAATCAGTGTTTAATCCAAGGGCACGCAAGATTGCTTTACGATGGATGTCAAGCATTGTACCTGCATTTTCAAGCAGAAAGCGGATGTGTTCCAGCGGATAGTTCATTTGCAAAAGCCACAGGATTACATGGACATAGTAGAAGAGGGAGCTACAATGACCAGTGGAGTCCTTTCAGGGGGCCGGCTGGGGTGAGGTCTTGACAGGGTGAGCCAGCGATGACAAACCAACGACACTGTGGCCCAGCTAATGCAAAAGCTTCCTTAAGTATTCGACATTGGTTCCGAAGGAGCTGTCGCACATCGTCAGCATAAAGCGTGTAAGTGTCCTTGCTGGATTGGGTCCATTCACCGTCTGTTCGAAGAGAAAATTGCTCACCAACAAGCTGCCTGAGGATTGGGTCACATTCTGCAACGATGATGATGCGTGGGGCACATCCAATAGCTTTAGTGATGGCCGGGATAGCTGAACCTACACCATCGAAAAGGCTAATGATAGCGTATGGGTGAACTTTTGAATACTTAGCCCGTTTGGGAGGAGATGTATCTTTTTCCTTAACAAGGGGACAATGGGAAGTATCACTTTCACCGCTGACTGGAGGGCGTAGGCAATCAGTATGGCTACAGGATAAGCTTACTTTGCTGCCATTATTATTGGAGTGTTCTGGCTCAAGTAGACATTCCCCTATATAATTTTAATTTATTATTCAAATAAATCAAAACCTATAAACGAAGACGCAATACCGCAAACGACGGAAATCTCACAGACCGCACTTTATATTAATATCTTTTTCGACTGCCAGAATTGTTAATTGTCTTTGGATCCATTTGAACTACATTTCGTGTTCAAATATGTAAACGCCAGGCTGATGGTTATTTTCTGCCCATCAGGTAGCCAATATTTGGCCAAGAAAAAGGGATGAAATCGAATGAAGATGTCGTCGCTGCAATAGGTTCACTTAAAGTGAACGCCGAGGATGTGAAACGTACGCAATTGAAAACCGGACCGGGTATAGAAAAAAAGGGAGTGTAGGTTAGATAGTCCCCGAAACCCCTTAATATCATTGGTGAGGGTGGGGGGGAAAACAAAAATCCCTTCAAGCAGGGAATGTCAACTTGAGCCAAAATGTAGCCCATCATAGGATGAAGTTCTACATTCCCAAAACATTAGTGAACAAGTACACTACACGTTCTGGCTCAAGTAGACATTCCCCTATATAATTTTAATTTATTATTCAAATAAATCAAAACCTATAAACGAAGACGCAATACCGCAAACGACGGAAATCTCACAGACCGCACTTTATATTAATATCTTTTTCGACTGCCAGAATTGTTAATTGTCTTGGGATCCATTTGAACTACATTTCGTGTTCAAATATGTAAACGCCAGGCTGATGGTTATTTTCTGCCAATTCATCTATCAGGCTGGTGGGATACAAACGCCAATTACGCCCCAAGATATGTGTTGGATTCCAGCAGTCGAAAAGATATATAGAGGGATGAGTGGATTTGTAAAAATTATACCGTCCAGTTTCTATGGGAGTTGCCAAGCTAAAAAGGTCTCTGGAGGATATACCGCAACTGAAGTCTCTGGATGCCACAACTGTTCCAGCGTAAGTGGAAATCGATTTTGCAATAGGTGTTGAAAAGGTGGTGGTGTGGATTCGTCCCACCTACTCAGTGCATCTGCTTCTTCATTTCGTTCGCCAGAAATATGAGAAAGGTCAAGTTCCATGCCGGAGAAGGTACATAAAAGAGTCAGCTTTTCGAGAAAAAGGTTCATCGGAGATGACATCGAAAATAATTTGTTGCCGCCAGCTTCTGCTCCAGTGTTATCAGTCAAGGAAGGTATACGTAAGGGATATCGAAATCCAGGGGAGCTGCGGCTGAAAATAAAAAGTATTGCAATTTGTGCCAAGGTCTCAAAACAAGCGATACATTTCTGCATTTCTTTGCTGACAGGAATATGCATGGATTCAAATTTTGCATAGGAAAAGGTTTCACTAAACCAAACCGTTGTGCCAGAAGGAAAACGAATGAATCCGCCAATTTGGCAAGTATCGCCATGAGCACATGCGTCAGCTGCGCACTCGCCAGTCCAAAGTTGTTTTGGCCTGAGACATTTCACCAGGGAGAGTGACTGTAACCAGGCTGAAAACATATGCAGAATCCGTATGGAGTCTGATGATAAACATCGCTTTGACGATTGCATATCTCGAATGCGAAGCCATGTGCGTCGTTCAGAAAGATAAATATTGTTGAGATCTGACAGGGAGGAAACGTTTTGATGGCGAATGGCCAACAAAGTGCTGCCCACAGGTATACCAGTGCCTGTGGGTGTACTGGTAAATTTCAAATCATTGTCCAGACAAGCCATGACGTTACGCCAATGGCCTGGGTCGATGCTAAAATGACTTGCAGGAACATGGAAAAGGTCCTTGTATAATATTGGAAGCCAGCATCGCATGAGCAGAAAAATCTGAGTCACCCAATTCAGTAGCCCAACCAACTTCTCCAATGCCTTCTTTGAGGTACGAGAAGATCGTATCATCTGTGTGATGTAGTTGCGCAGTTTTTCCAGTTTCACAAGAGGTAGGGCTATGTACCCAGATGTAATTTCAAATTGCCAGCCAATCCAGTGAATCCGAGCACCAAATTCAGATTTCCGCCAGGAGATAGGAATGTTCAAAATTTGTGAAGCTATGCAGAGCTCACAAGCCATGATCAATGCCACTGATCGAGGAAAAAGGAATAAGTAGTCATCAACGTACAGGAATCCGGCGTGGATCCACCACAGGAGGTGGTGGAAAAACCGCAATATAAAGCTCCCCACACGTGTCCAGTGATATGCGCTAAAGGTAGCGCCGAAGGGGGCTACTTTGTAAAAGTATATCTTGTTGTCGAGTGTAAAGCCTAATAGGCCGCGTTCTTCTGTTCGAATGACAACAAGCTTGTGGGCGGATTTGATATCGAGCGAAAATCCCACCAATTGTTCCTGGGTTTCCCTCAATGGGTATACCCGCATAACGTCCAATGCACTCGGCAATGTCGTGCGCTCCGGTATGGAGCACCGACTGTTTAGGCCGCATATTGATGAGTCAACAACTAAGCGAGGGGGCCGATGATCGCTGAGAGCAAGGCCGAGACGTCCAATGGCTAACTTGTCCCCAAATTCTGCTTGTGCATCTGCCAAGGTGCCATGATACTCGTAGATCCATCCCTTTTCCAGCTCTTGGTTGACCAAGTCACGAGTGGTCTCCAAGTCTGATTCTGCAGATTGCCAGTTAGTCATGTGGATGGATAAAGGGATGGAATCATCTGCTTTGTCTTCTGCACGAGGAAAAATGGTTGAAGGTGGGATATCCGATTGGATTCCTGTCGGAGCTCCATGTCGTAACATATCAAACAGGGAATTGTCCTTGTCTTGCATAATTCTTGAAATGGCCGCCATAATCTCAAGGTGCATGGGTTGGTCCATGCGAATGCTCCAGTCTGCAATCATGCCATGAGATTGTATAAAACGTTCCAGGGAGTGTCGAAATGGAGCCAAGTCTTCTGCAGAAAAGGGTGGTTGGGCTTCATGGGCCCGAAAAAATGCTTGCATTTTGTCCAGCATCCCATTGTGAAGGATCAATTGAACCCAGTCTTGTCGAAGTTGCTTCAAGCTGTCAGGAGTAGCCCGATGTGGACGACTCCAATCGGGTTCAGAGTTGAGGCCACCACCATCTTCATAACTCACCGGAAAATCACAATAACCCTTCACAGGGATGCATTGTTGTACTGTTGTCCATGTCAGTTGTTGACCAGTGTCAGAAGCGCAGAGTGGTGCAATCAAGTTGGCAATCGCCGCACACATTGGTTCCGGGTATTCAGCAGTGTCGCGGCTCTTAAAGGTTCCATCCGCATGTCGAACGCCAGAAATGGGTTCATGGGAGTCTTTGGGGTGATTGCAAATGGATCCTAAGGATTTTAAAGCTGGATATGAACATGCCAACAACCAACTCTTATTCCAATTCCGCGAGAAAGCACAAGCAGGAAAATTTACCAAAAATATAGCACAAAATTTTATGAATCGCCGAACCTCCGCCTCCAGCCACGCCATAGAGTTCGTCGGTTGTTCAAGGTGGACATGTCCACCTGCAGAGTAAACCAATTCCAAGCACAAAACGCATCGGGTCATCAGTTCATAGCTCGCTTGGACTCGGTCAAGTTGGGCTGGAGTGAGACCAGGAAGGCCTTGCATAAACTCAGGTGTCCGCAATGCTGGTGGTCCATGAGGCTTCAGTTTGAGTCGGCTGTACTCACCACAGTTTGGGGCGGCCCCTGCATAACCCACGCATCCAGATGAGCATACACGCAACAAAGGTTCAAAGAATGAATTATTCAAAATATCCATGTCATCACAAATCAATTTGTCAACGGGAAAGCAAATGCAATTACGCTGTAGCATCGCTGATGTCAGAGGATGTCCGGCTCCAGAGCATAGGTCCAGAAAAATTCGAGAACCTTGTAAATAGGAGAAATCCACATTGTTTGAAACAGATGGTGGGATAACCTCCTCTGTATGTGAAACAGTCTCCAAAGCTTGGGCTTGAGGAGATGGTGAGACGGTTGGGGGTGAAAAAATTTCGCCCTCCTTGTCATCGCTGATATCCATGCTGGTCGCTGTGGTCTGTGCATCGGAAGCCGCAAGTCAGTGGGGTTGTTGTTGATGAGCAAATGCGCTATGGGCTTGGCCGCAAGCTTGTCCAGAAGCAAGCGGATAGGCACAGAAGTGGCCAAACTTGCAGAGGTCACCCTTCTGACAGCGACCAGATTGGAATTGCATACAGAGCTGCTGCTTCTTGCCCTGAATCATTGCTTCTGTCACCCAAGTTGGTCGTCCTTGAGCTTCGCCTTTGGTGTTCTTGCCAATGGATTTGGACTTTCCTTTTCCTTTACTCTTGCCCTTGGGGGCTGTGGTGGTCGAAGCCGAAGATGAGATTGTACCCATAGGTCGTGAGGTGACCTTGGCTCTTGGCTGCAAAAGGGAGGCCATGTCCGCCCTCAGGTGAGTCACCTCGTGTAAGGCGTTGTCCAATGTAAATCCTTGATCCAACACCAATTCGTGAATCAGATTCCATAGTTGTTTGTCTGCTGCCTGTGCCTCCAGTACGTTCGGCGTCCGGAGTCCAGAATCTCCGTCCAGACGCTGGGTCAAGAAGCTCATGAAGCGTAAGGAGTATGCCCGCAATCGTTGGAGGTGACATGCTCCCACTAACGCCATCGCAGTGTTGTGAATATCCATCATGTTGCGGATTGCGTTCACGCCCATCCCAGTGTTGTTGATGTCCAAGGCCGGAGGTTCGTCCAGCAACAACTGGTGTAATTGAAGACCCTCAATGCGGGGGACTTTGGGCTTATGGTAAATCACCATATCATCCATTTTGGATTGTGACATTCGATAACGCCAAGGGATCCATGGATACTCACGTTTGCTATGATGCTGAAACGCCATCGAAAGCAATCGAGAACTGGGCATCGTGTCTGGGCTAAGAACTTCTGATGGATAGTCTTCCAAAAATTGTTTCTTCAATTTCGAAACTGTGTTCGCCTGAAGCTTGGGGGCGAAAGATTCAGACCATGATCCTTCAGGAGCTGATGCTGTCGTCATGCCAGCAATGTTGGAGTCCCGACTGGTGCTAGTAGAGTCAGGTTGCAACTGTTGCCAAGCCACCTTCAGGTTTGAACGCTGCACCAAAGAAATTGGTGAATTGCACAACTGGTCCCAAATGCCTTCATTGAACTCTTCTTTGGAATTAACTACCATTGCGAAATTTTGGGATGTCCATCCCTCCTGCACCAACTGCGAAGCCAGTGTTGGGTCAACCCCACATTCAGACAAAACGTCTTCAAACGCAGGTAAAGCCATGTTGTCTCCACAGGAGACTACGCCAAACGCATTGGATGAAGCGTCCACCGAAAAAAAATCTGATTCATAACTGCATTATGATTGAACACGTGAGCAGTATATTCATGTGGAGTGGTATAATTGGAAGTTCTCATCATGCGATCAAAAAAGAAGATTCATGTGAGGGGCATAAATTGATTATGGGGAAAGAAAAGGACTGTTAATAAGTTTGGAAGGTTGTGTGGACCTACGCTGACCCCAGGCCGACGCGATGGCAACATGCCAATCAATGCAAACGGATGAACTCATTGCTGCTGAAAAATTTTGAAGACACTTTGAACAAAGATTGAACCTGGATTGATGCAAATTCCTTAAAAATGTAAACATTTTCAATGTTGATCCAATGTCACGTGCCTTGAGTGAATCGATGTTGGAGCCTGGAGCCACATCTGCATGGAGGTTAGGTTCGATGCCTTCCAAGTGAATGTCGGCCAAATGTGACTGTGAAGTCAAGTGAAATTCGCTGCGTCGATTGATGTAATGTCTGACATCTTCAAATCTTTCATTTGATAAAACAATTTGAGAAAAAAACAAAACATGACACATCACTCCTTAAATGATTATGTGGAAAAAATGACTGCTCAGTCAATTGCACATTTCTGCACGCTCGGCGCCCCTCAGTGAAGTAATGATTCATTAGGAATCGGTTGAAACTTGTTGCCAGCGGTTGCAGCAGGCTGCATGTCGACAAATGCTGTATGATGGTTGGAGCTGATTGTCAAAATGACAATGGTCTCGGGGTAAACGAGCCCCACAAGCTGCCCTATAATGCACACCTTCCCAAACCGGCTGTTGTTGATCATCACAGTGAAGCATGATGTGTTGAATTTTTGTAAAGCGGGCAACAACCAGTTCCTCCGGAGGTCCAATCAGGGTCATGTTGTTTGATACTTTCCGAGGTGAATCTGATGAGCTCGATGATGAGGAGGATGATGACGAGTCGCTTTCCACCGTGATCTCGTCCCCTGAGTCAATGGTGGCAAGTGCCGTTGGCTGACCTTTCAACAGAGGGTCTTTGACAGCGTTGTTGAATGGAAAAAATGTCCATCGGTGCTCTTGGTATGACTTGGAAAAGCTTTCTAATTTGACTGGGGGTTCTCGGATCGGTTGCTGTGATCCACGATGCAACGGTGTCACAAATCGATATCCAGATTGCACTTGGGTGCTGAGGGTGTCCTGCAGTGCCAGCTGGCCGGCGGTGTCATCCCGGCTGTAGAGGCGCATGCTGCCACGTCGATGGTGGCCTTGGAGGTGTCGCTGCTCCTCCGTCACGAGGCCCTGCTGGGCCAACTGATTGGACCAGGACAAAGTAGTGGTCTTCAATGAATGTAACGTATAATCATTTGGATTGGCAGACATGGGTGTGTCTGAAAGTTTCCAGGGCAGTGTGCACATAAATCGCATCCGCTTCAATGCTTGAGAGTAACTCATGGGAATCATAGGCTGCACAAACCCAGTGTCCAATGTCATGGGAAGCAAAAAATCACAGGCAGTCTGAGCGTTGTGCATCGGTCCCCAAATGGTATCCAGCGCCACCAACCACTGAGCTGTCCATGACCAATCGCCTCGAGACAGGAAACCCCTCGCCTGCAGGGCCCAAGGTTGGCCGGATTTAGTTGTTTTGGTCTGAAAGCATGAGCCACGCAGTGCCGTGATGCACCATGATAATGATTGCAAGTTGATACGCTGTCCATCTGAGAATCTCAGGCCTGCCCACAGCATACAAAGGAAGCCACCCAGAACGACCTGATCCTGTAAAGGACAGTCCTTCATCAGTAATCGTCGTTCCCACTGTGTGACGATGAAGAGGCTCAAAGGAATGGCTTCCTTACGTTCATGAATTGTTGGATTCAAAAATGAATTGACAACTGGTCCATGCAAAGTACTCCAAGCCGGAATTTGTAAAGTCTTCTGTAACCAACGCAGTGCCTTGATGGCTGCTGATGCGCCAAATCCCCAATCTGTCTGGCGCCCCTCGTGCGTGATTTGCAGCAAGTCGGACAATTTGTATGTCCCGATGGCCTGCCAGGTCAATGAGAACTCCTGTAGAATGTTGTGGACACACTGCAATGTACCAATGTACTTGAACATTGTGGAATTCGAAAATTTGTCAAGCAAACGAAGGCAATGTGATTCAAAATGAGTTGAACCCTGAAAGTCACTCCAAACTTGTGACAAATTGCCAATGCTGTGGACCAGTGCTATCCAACGGCGTTGCAGATCGACTGAGATACCTTGAACACGAGGTCTTTGAGGCGCTGACGAACCACGGGGTGCTTGCGCCGGCAAAAACACAGGTTTGGACATCTTGACATCTACACTTGAAATATCAGGTATGCCAGAAACTGTCCTGTCATTTGAACGCCTAGGCGACTGCAAAACTGGGTAAGGATTCGGCCGTTCGAATTTGGGAACTTCTTTGCCCCCTTTTGACAGTGGCTGTGACAAACTGGCAGCATGACGAAAATGAAAACTTGGAACTGGTTTCGGTGCTGGTCGACTCTTGGGACATGGGTTGGAAATCAAAGTCCAGTCATCGATGTCCACATCCATCTGCGCAATGAAAAATTTTGAAAATGATGTACTGAGGTCTGCACTGCACTCAAAGCGACGTCGAACCAGGTCCCCGAAAAAAGTTGAATCAATGAAATCTGAATTGCAAGAAATCTGACAACTGTCACAGGCAGTGATGAAAATTAGAGCCCACCACAGATGGCTCACCATGTGCGCCCGGGTCCGGCCGGAGATGAATGAAAGCAAATGACAACCAAAATGTTTGAGTTTGATCTGCCAGTCTGTTGTATGAGCAAATGCCCTATAACAAGAAACGCGAATGAAACAAGTTCAATGTTGACTACATGTGAAGCTGAAAACAAGCATGAACGCGAACAAAGCTGAAAATAAAAACAAAAATCCCTTCAAGCAGGGAATGTCAACTTGAGCCAAAATGTAGCCCATCATAGGATGAAGTTCTACATTCCCAAAACATTAGTGAACAAGTACACTACACGTACCCGGGCAGCTTCAGCTGGTGCATGCTCATGCATTGGACAGTGGGCACTTGTGTTAGCACTGGCCAGCTTCAGAGCCTCATTCTCATGAGAGTGGGGGACATCCCCAGGCTCCTTACTACCCAGGTCTGCATGGGATGGTGTATCGCTATCTTTTTGAGGGGTGGCCGTCAGGCCAACTGTGGGTACCCCACAGTGGCTTTCTGCCATGCCATCTGCGATGTCGTTGTGCTGGTCAGCATGTGGAGGATGCGCAACAGCATGAGGAAACGGCGGAACAAGTCCAACCATGGGTACTCCATGGTGGTTGCAATGACCATTACTAGCCGGCTCATTTAGCAAAGGGGGGGAGGTGAGTTCATTATCGGGTGGGTAGCCAACCACGGGTACCCCGTGTTGGTCACCCACCCCACTGTGGGCAGGGTGCGTATGTGTCGGGGTATCGGTATGATGAGGGCTCACAGCAGGTGGTGAGGGGTCACTTGGCTTACTTTCCAATGCTTCAGTTGATTTGTCCGGAGTATTATCATTTCCCAACTTCCTTCTTGGCAGACTGGGGACATGATATCGTCTGGCGCTTATGCCAAGGGTATTCTTGGGTTTTGACTTTGGTTTTTTAGGGCGATGAGATTGCTTGGTACACTGGTGTGTGCCAGGTGCGATGGCTTTGTACTGTGGAGGTTGGAACGAGTAAGGCAGATGATCATGTCGTCTAAAAACAAAACCCCACACAAAGGAGGTTGTTTTTAGTTGTTCGACAGGGATCCATGCATGGCCTCGGAGGTTGTCATAGATGAGAACCTGTCCTTCGTTCCACCGTTCGATGATAAGGAAATGGTGTGACGACCTTCCTTGGACAATAATAATACCAGTGACGATGAAAGGTTGAGAAACTGGATTTGCGCTCACGGTAGGAACATTGAAGAGCTGTCCAAGGAGGCATAGAGCTTTGGTAGCAGTTGGCAGTTGTTCAATGGGGCTTGTAATTTTGAGGGTAAAAATCAAACAACCTTCAATTTCTTCATTGTTCTGTTGATCCTGATCCTGACAGTTGCTGGCGTGCGAAAAACCGACATCCTCTCTATCGAGTGCAAGGCGCGGAGTCCGACCTGCAATCATTTGTGGAAGATCAATGGTATCATTTTCAAGGTTGATACTCAGCATTGTATCAAACAGAGCGGCCGAAACCTGACCCGATGCGCTACATGAAAGGCAGTTCACTTGAAATTGTGCAAAGAAGAGTTCGCTATGGTCTGGAAATAAGTCATCACAAGCCGCAATGATAGCGGTGTCAAGGTCAGAGACTTGTCCAGGTGGAAAAGCAGTCAAGTTCAGGTAACTAGCAAAAGCAGCACAGACTTCTCCAATGCTTACTCGTCTTCCTTGCACAGTGGCTGTTTGGTCAGCCCATGTCCATCCATTGCCGATAGCGCATAAGACTAATTCTCTGATGTGGCCATGAAACATGTTATCATTCCAAGGTGCATGGGTGAGGACACGAAGTGCAGTAACCGCATAGCACATGTAGCTTGGAAATTTAATGAGATAACATGTTGCAAGCTTGGCAAAATAGTCGTAATCCGCATGGGAAAATGAGCTGGGCCATCCAGTGATGATATCTCTATTGGAAATAAGGAAACTGCTGCTTTGTTCGCTGCCACATAGGATGTTGTCGATAGGGCTATGTGAGGCTTTGACAAAGATCACCTCATCGCCATGAGCAAGTTCATTAGCATTGCTATCCAATTGCTGATAGGCGGCGTTGTGTGTTAAGAGGTCGAGGACAGTTTCGAGTGGCTGATTAGGACCATTCCTATGTTCATCATGGCTGCGGTTCGTCTGTCGGCTGGTTTGACGACTCTTTTGTGTGGGTAAGCCAGCTTTAAGGGAAAGATTCCCAGAATGGTCTTGTTGTTTAGACGTTGAGTCATCAGCAATACGTGTAGGAAGGTTGGCCAGTCTTGTATCCTGAGGCGTGACATGGGTGTGAGTAGGTCTGTGGATGGAATCATTTCGTTGAGTAGGGCAATCCAGTTGCAAGGGTTGTAAAGTGGCTTTGGGTACAAGGTTAGTCTGGGTAGTAGATTGGGAAGTGTCACACAACCGTGGGTACCCCACGTTGGCGACATCATTGTGATCAGTGGGCGTATTTACATTGTGATGCAAGTGTTTTGCCTTTGGAGAGCTGGGGTTGTTCGTAAGGCCATCCTGGGCATGTTGTCCTGGTTCGCTAGATTGGTTCTGACCGAGGTTTGCCATAGCAAGGTTGTTGTCAGTGGCAAGGGGGTTACGACCATGAGTGGTATCATTATCTTGTTGTGAGTCTTTGTCAGAACTGTGAGTGTTGTCATCAACCGAATCAAGAACTGTTGCAACACATTCCATGGGTACATCTTCACAGTGTTCGCCGGTATCTGACTGAAGGTGCGTTTTCGGAGATTCTGGGTGTTTACTGTCATTTGTCTGTGCAGGCTGCATTTCAACATCACCCTCAGGATGCATGGTGGGAGATCCTCTAGACTGCCTGGGTTTATGAGGTGGGCGATAAGTAGGTCTACTGCCTGATGGTGTTGCACTTGATTGTCCGTGAGAGGGCATACGCTTAGCGCTATTCATCCCATGACCGTTTGGAAAATTAGCAGTCGGTGTGGCATTAGTATACTGCTCTTTCAGTCCAGCATGGGCAACGCTAGCATCAGGGGTTCTTTGTGATGGTACGATACAGGCATGTGCCTCTCGGAGGTGGCAACATTGCGTTTTGTCAATAACCTGCGAGATTGAAATTCCAGGTGGGAGTGTGACAAAAATCGAGGAAGGTTCAAAAGTACGTATGACCAATTCGTCGTAGTATCGTACCTTCCATTCATCACGCTCGAGGTGAATAGATTTCAAATGAAAACACTGTTCTGGACCAAGCACGATATGGTAGAAAAGCCACTTCTGGTAGTCCCTGTACTTGATAAATTCATGATGAAGTAAATCAATCTTAACAGTGTCAGGATTCGTCACAAAGGATTCCTGGATGAAAGAGTTGTCACAAAAATTAACTTTTTGTAAGCATTCCATTAAGGGTAGATGCAACTCTTTGGGTGAGAAAAACCACGCAGGCGGTTGGGACGCAATGGCAATAATGTTGGTGAAATCCTGCATAGAATCAATGACAGTGGTACGTAAATCATAGTATCTTTTGGCTGACTGTTTCTTGTTTGGCTCGAAGGAGAGATGACTGATTCTGCCTTCTTTAGGGATCATTTGTTGAGCAATGACCTTATTCCAGTGATCTCGCCTAGTCTCAACTTCCGTAAGGGAGACATCCGCACGAAAATCCTCTGCAGAGGGGCATTGGTGCTGAATTACAACTTGGCAAGGGTCACAATTCAATGAAAGAGGTAAAGAGTCTTCATGTTTAATCTCGATATCAAAACAAAGACACTTTTGCTGTGAACGGTCAACCTGGCACCAGCGAATAGAAAAATTGACAGCCCCAACTTTTTGTTTTAGCAGCTGTACCAGAGATGATTGATCCAATTGGTCTAGTTGGTCCTCCATACATATTGATGGGTGAATTTCAGCCCATAGAATTTGTGCAGGTGTATACTGGAAGGAACCAATCTTGCCAAATTTGACTTGAAAATGATTATAATCATGGGTGGTCTGTGCGCAATGAGGTTTTGATCGCAGCATGTGGACAGTGAAAGCACCCTGTTTAGGACCAATGGGTAAATGAACGTCAAATGGAAGAGCCAAGTGGAGGTTAATGACAAGTGACGGCGGTCCAAAAATGGCAAGTCTTCTGTAGTTCATGAAGTGGTACCTCACTTTAAGGTTGGCTAGTTGGACAAGAATTTCATTGAGTACAGTGTTGGGAAATGCCTTCAGATCCAGTACTGACATAGTGATTCCATGTGGAAAATGCTTTTGGAATTCTGTGTCATTCCATGGAAAGAAGTGCTTTACCTGACACTCTGCAAGTCCATGCGACCAAGCGGCATCAACAGTTGGTTGAAGGATCTTCTCCACAAGCTCGATCTCTGCCAGGCTGTCATTGGCAATCTGGACAGTAAGTGAGGTGACATCAAT